TTGAAAATTATGTTTGTGAAAATAACAGTTTGCAACGTAATTTGGATATCTCTTTAATAATTAATTTGGAAATACCTTTAATAAGTGTTTTGGATATCACTTTAATAAGTAATTTGGATATCTCTTTAATACGTATTTTGGATATCTATTTAATAAGTATTTTGGATATCTCCTTAATAAGTATTTTGGATATTTCTTTGATAAGTATTTTGGATATTTTTTTAATAAGTATTTTGGATATCTCTTTGATAAGTATTTTGGACATTTCTTTAATAAGTATTTTGGATATCTCTTTAATAAGTATTTTGGATATCTCTTTAATAAGCATTTTGGATATTTCTTTAATAAGTATTTTGGATATCACTTTAATAAGTATTTTGGATATATCTTTAATAAGTATTTTGGATACCTCTTTAATAAGTATTTTGGATATCACTTTAATACGTATTTTGGATATCACTTTAATAAGTATTTTGGATATTTCTTTAATAGGTAATTTGGATATTTCTTTAAAAAGTATTTTGGATATCACTTTAAAAAGTATTTTGGAAATATCTTTAATAATTATTTTGGATATTTCTTTAATAAGTATTTTGGGTATTTCTTTAATAAGTATTTTCGATATCTCTTTAATAAGTATTTTGAATATTTCTTTAATAAGTATTTTGGATATGACTTTAATAACTATTTTGGATATATCTTTAATAAGTATTTTGGATATCTCTTTAATAAGTATTTTGGATATTTCTTTAATAAGTATTTTGGATATCACTTTAATAAGTATTTTGGATTTTTCTTTAGTAAGTATTTTGGATATCTCTTTAATAAGTATTTTGGATATCACTTTAATAAGTATTTTGGATATCTCTTTAAAAGGTATTTTGGACATTTCTTTAATAAGTATTTTGGATATCACTATAATAAGTATTTTGGATATTTCTTTAATAATTATTTTGGATATTTCTTTAATAAGTATTTTGGATATTTCTTTAATAAGTATTTTGGATATCTCTTTAGTAACTATTTTGGATATTTCTTTAATAAGTATTTTGGATATCACTTTAATAAGTATTTTGGATATCACTTTAATAAGTATTTTGGATATCTCTTTAATAAGCATTTTGGCTATTTCTTTAATAAGTATTTTGGATATCACTTTAATAAGCATTTTGGATATCACTTTAATAAGTATTTTGGATATTTCTTTAAGCCGATAAAGACAACGAAAAGAAGACAGTCCTTTATTATGGTATAATTCATTTTCTGTATTATTAAATACCTCAACAATTCTTTTGTAATGAGTACTGACGTCAGCAATAATACTAATGTACACACACACACATACATACACATACACATGCACACTCAAATAAGGGATGGTAAAATCAATACCGCATACTTCTGTTAAAATACAATAGATTTCAGGGTCTTATATATATATATATATATATATATATATATATATATATATATATATATATATATATATATCACTAAGTGATTTGCATCTATGAGAAACAGATATCCAATCAATTTCATAGTCATTAATATTTGTTGTTTTTTTTAAACTTGTTGAGATTCTATGTCCTGTTACGCACAAGCACGTGATTAATCTAGAGATCTTTATTCCGTATCATTATTTAAATTCATGTATGTTTGTACCCTTCAATTCCAGAACTGTCCTGGCCGTGCACTGCGTCTGCTATTCATTGCTGTAACCGAAAAAGCCAATAAATTACAAAACACAATATAATATACCAATTGCAAATTAAATGGATGAAACAATTGCTTCTGTCAAAATTTCCTTCCTTTCCCTACCCTGATTTGAATATGTTAAAACAATAAATGCGAATCACGCAGAAGGATCTTTATTAATTTACCCTTTCTTTTTTATTACTCTGCTATGTATCAAGATAATGATTTTAGTTTCATTGAATCTTTTGCAATTTCTGCCACACTTCTATTCTTATTTTTTATCTATATTGCTATATTTGTAATTGCTACCGCATTGTTATATAAAGCTGACTTGTATGACTGTTTGCTTTTACCGGTAAGATAATGTATAATCTTTATCAGTTTAATTATCTCAGCTTAATTCTACTAACTAGTAGTATTTTTCTATCGCCGTCTTTCTAGCTCGATGTTATCACTGCTTTATGCAAATTTGTTCATTTCGTGGATTTTACAAGGATGCTGAGGAAACTGAAACAAATTGGTCTTAATGTAAATCTACATCCATTTTGCCCGAAGATATACTATATAATATAATATAATGTAGTATAATGTAATGTAATGTAATATAATATAATATAATATAATATAATATAATATAATATAATATAATATAATATAATATAATATAATATAATATAATATAATGTAATGTAATGTAACGTAACGTAACGTAACGTAACGTAACGTAACGTAACGTAATGTAATGTAATGTAATGTAATATAATATAATATAATATAATATAATATAATATAATATAATATAATATAATATAATATAATATAATATGATATTTCAGAACTTTAGTTGAAAGCACATCATAAAATACTTGCCGAGTATTCAAGAGACAAAGTCTGAAAGTGTCACATACTTGACATAAAATAATTTTCGAATCATCAACGTATATAATGCATGATGTTTGTTGGATATTTTCCAAGATCAAATGATTGCATATTCACTAATTATGCAAGAATGGTTATGAAGGAGTGATTTATTTAGGACAACAAAGTCAAGACATGGCGACAAGACTGATCGTATCTGGAATTATAAAAATGGATTGATAAATATTTTGAATCGTAAAACATGTTTTGTATTGACATTAACATAATGATCTTGTGATGCTTTTTGTGTCAGTTCGTGGTAGTATCTGTAAGATGTTGAAACGGCTTAATTAGAATGTTTTAATTCTTATGTTTAAATTTTCAATAAACTTATTAATTACTTGTGTATAATTATGGAGTATATTTTAATATCATTCATAAACATATATTCATTTTGGTGTTATAATGCTTAATAATTTTCTTTTTATATTTTTCTGTTGATATCTATTGGAAAATAGAAAGATAACATTTTGACCAGTAATACACATGCAAATTCGAATACTTTCTTACTGTACAGAAAATGATTTGCACGGTTTTATACAGACGTTTTGTTTCTCTTTTAAACTCTTCTGCATTTATTTGTCATAATGACTTCTTATTTTCTAAAGCTGTATAACCTTCATCTATTTCATCTGCTTAAAAAATACAACTTCAATATAGAAAGCAATATTTCAAGATTATTTATATTTTAGTATCCTTAACGAATAGCAAATTTGGTACTTTATCCATCAATTAGTTTACTGCGCTTCACCATATAGTGATGGGATGCATAGGAATGGCGTCATGACGCGTGACTGTGCTATAAATTACAGTAATGATTGTGAAGTACTTCTGAGCACATTTGAACGTTCTATTTGATTGATGTCCTTGTCCATCTATTGAAGCCTCAGACATAACACTGTTGACAAAAGGTAGTATTAAATTAATTACTTAATTTAATGGGACCAATCCGGTCAGGTTATAGCATACGCCTCGGGAGGTAATGAGTTCAAACCCCGGCCGAGTCATACCAAAGACTTTTAAAAAATGGTACTCACAACTGCCTCGCTAAGAACTCTACATTAAGAGGTTAATGTCAGGATCATGTGACTGGGTGGTACATGTCAGCTTCATGATGCCCTAGTGTTTGACATCACTATAAACTGTCACACTGCAGACATCGTTGCGACTGAAAAATTGTTAAAGCTAAGTTAAGAATCCAAATCACACGCATACACATCTTCATAAATGTATCCAGCCCTACATCACTTGGCACATTTGAATACCCAGTATATTAGTTGACATCATCAGCTGATTGCCTGCAACTATCTGAACAAAAATGCAGGTTTAGATGATAAACCACGAACAATCAAAAGAGCTATATTAACTGCTGCTTGCATATAATGCAAGGAAAATCGCTTTTCTAGCTTAATACAAAATAGCTCATACAAAAATCATACACCTTTTGGAAATAATTAAGCCACAGGTATACAAGTTCAAACATCTTTGCGTAGAATAATTGCTCTTTTAAAATCTGCTTCAAAGCAATTTGGAAAATACTTCAATTTTCAAATAATTTGTCTAACATGAATTTGTTTGACTTTGGTTACAGCTTGTTTTGTTTCAAAGACTATGGTTATAAAATTTTTATATCCTAGGATTTCGGCTTGATATTTTATTCTTTCATGGAAATGTTATAACACAACACTGTTATAATATTTATTCTACTGGATTTAATAAACTAATTAAAAGAAGATTTGACTAATAACCGAATAATTTGATGTTCGATAATAAAAAATATTAATTATTCGCATTGTGCAAAACAATGTTGTACATGTGAAATCAGTTGCTTTTATCAAGATCGCTTTCGGCCCTTTCATACAGGAATATTTGAACGTGTTTTTGCGGCAATCAAGGCTGACTGATCCAAATTAATGTGTTATACAATGATTTATAATTACTTCGCAACGATAATTAAAATGGCAAATCTAAGCGCACATTTGTTCTACCTGATCATTCACCTATATTGGAATGCAACCAGTATCATGGGCATCATTATAAAGGCGAACATGACTGCTATCACAGTCCAAGAGGATATAATGTTCCAACTGAATTAACATAATGTTGGATGTATTGGTCAACCAATAGTCTTGAATGTCCTTGTGTACCACCACCATATAATCCAGAATATCTTTGAATGAGTTTTCAATAATCTAAAAATAATTATTTACTCCCAAGAAGTGAATAGTACATTTGATTCAATGAGTAATTTAAATAAATAATTCTTTTTAAATTATATCTGATCACATTGGAAAAATCTGATTATAGATTTCCAAATATTGATATGAGACAAAACGAGTAGTTGTTACCCAAATCATCGATTTATACTAATTTCACATCACCTATCGGACCAATCCAGTGACCTAGTGGTTGGTGCACCCGCCTCGAATGCGGGAGGTTGTGGGTTCGAACCCCGGTCGAGTCATACCAAATAAAAATGATACTGCTGCCTCGCTTAGCAATCAGTATTAACAGGATTGTGTTATGACTGGACTTAAGCTCAAATACAAGTAAACATCGTCTTAACCTTTTAGAATCATGACACAATTCAGGCAGGCATTACGGTCAATTACTGACAAATATTAATCACACACATTAGGTATACGTAACAATGGTAACAATATAGCTATACTTAACAATGATGACAGTATAGATATACGTAACAATGGCGATAACTATCCGCACATGTTCGAAAAATGTAACAATCAATTGCACAACAAATAAAAAAACCTGTAAAATAAGTTTCAAACAAATAACAACGTGTACCACAAGACAGAATATAAAACGTTAAAATGTTAATATGTTACAATTATATTAACTATATAAAAAGGTAAATGTAACAAAAAGCGAAATCGTCTAATCATGACTAAAATATGTTGCTTATATCATAGAACCTTTAACAGGTGAAGATTTTATCAGACGGTTACGTCCTCCTACAATTTCTTCAAATATTTCACTAAATGATACCTCTGCCTCGAAATGGGGAAACGCAAACTTGACAAGAATTTTCGCTATTGTTAGTGGCCATTGGCAGGGTACAGTTGAGGCTGACCCATCAAGACTTAAAATTGAGTCAAGCATATATATCCAATACACAATCGGCACAATGGCTCTTCAGTTCTCCCGCTTCTTCTATACAGGTGATGTCACTCTTCAAAGGTGGTTTTCCTGTACTAAATTTGTTTGTGGAGTTTAATTCCAGATATTTTGCCAAATATAACGAGTATTTTGATTTATACAATATCTTAAGTCTGTATATAAAACCGAAAACTTCCATTCGGACATGGATGAATGAAGAATAGCTTTTTACTGCTTTATATGCAGTTTCATTGCCCTTTACGCTAAATAGAATTGATTACTGAACTATTGTATTATAGCATTTATACGTTACTGTATTTGTATGGAAAAATATGAATGCGTTTGTTGGAAAATACTGCACGACCAATCGGGATGTAGTATTTTTAAGTAAAATTGAGTTCATAGTTTCCAATACAAATACAATTACCATATTGTTTAACTAAGTAAGGCTTAATTCTAAACAACGTTACCAAACACAATATAACTGGATCTAGCCATTATTCCAAGATCAGATGACAACAATACATTCATCAATACACAACAACAATATTCATGCGCTCGTAGCTCCATCTAGCGACCGTTTAACTTGGTCGCGGGCTCAACTTCAATTTCAAAAAGAATTGTCGTTTTGGTCTACTTAAAATTTAAATTGTATTGTCATACTGTGAATGAATGCGCATGAATTCTGTTTCTATGTTGATTAATATTTGCATCAATGTAAGTATATTTCAGAATAGTCTTATCACCAGCTAAAAAAATGAGTGTATGCCCTGTCACGTGCATCGCACTGTTTAGGGGACCCTAGCTATGAGATGTTTCATGCAGCGAGTCTTTTATTGCTAGTCTAACATTGTATGAAAATAGATACAAAAGGGAAAACTGAAAAGCAGTTGTTGTGTGAAACTCTACCTACCCAGCGGAAATATTACTTTTACGTCGTCTTGGATTATTAGTTCGGATGCATATAATTATGTTTTAAAACCCAAATAGTGATGCTGAAAACTGACACCATTCGACTTTGCATGAGGCGTTGATGTTTGTCGATATGTCAGACTGACACGATTAACAGATTCATAAGATGTACTGTTTATGTTTTTGTGTTTCATTTGGCTCATATGTTATAGCATCGTCCAACTGTCCTAAGATATAACTGGACTTAATTAGAAAATTGATTATTTTGTCTATAGAAAATACATTTAAAGTCTTCTTATGAAAATAACATATCACGCATCATAGCCATTTTATTCTACGATAGAACATTAAAAAGCAACGAAAGTAAGGGAAATTTACTATCATCTAGGTGTAGATACTGCATAGATTAGAAATAATTCACGAAACGAAACGCTGACTATAAAGGTCATTTTGTAAACACTCAATGACTTAATGTGTATGAGGCAGTATAAAATAAGATTTGCCATGTTGTCACCTTCTTTAAAGTGTTTGTTTGAGTGTGGCTCCACGATTAAAGAACATTTCAACCGTTGCAGAGACAACTTTATGACATAACCAACACAAGTTAGGCTGGAACTCAGTTTAAATCTCGAAATATATTGGTTGAAGAAATTCTTTGAGAAGATTGAGTATGATTAAATGTGACCAGTTTCACAATTAATCTCTTTCTTGCAGTCAGAATACAAACATTCATTTCCCAAATAATAAGGACACCAGATGATATAAGAAGCAAAATTAATTTTATTTCATACAAAATAGCAATTATTTGTGACACGAATAGGCAGGGTAGAAATTATCGGAACCTATAAAATAGAAGACAAAGAGACGCTAGAAATTAAACTTTCAAAACAGTTTGATCATCATGCTTTTCAGTATAGAATGTATTTTATGAATATTGCCCTAATATAAACTGCCTATAGTATACTTCGTTTATTCGTTCTATTTAAGTACATTAATCAGAGTTTAAACCTTTCTGGAAATACAACAATGAAGATCATTATACTCCAAATATATTTTAAAGGTAAGATAATATTCGGGTCAGCAAAAAATGCACTAAAAGCCGACGCTTTTGTAAATTCTATCTTGTAAATATATTATCTGATAGACAAAAAAGTGAAAACTTAGCGAACGTTCTCCAGACTTAACTTAAACTTACAAATTCATTCAGCTTACACATCTGTAGGTAATCGATATAAACCTAATTTAAGAATGGTTAAGACAATAAAGTAATAGTAAGTGTCGCAAGCACCGTTCATTGTTCAAGGTCACTGTACCGTACTTACCTTACATTTCATGGATACCAATGCTGTATCTCTTAAATAAATCAAAGCAAATTTAATGATGATATATGTCTTGAGTTTGAACTGTAACAATCCTAATATTAATGATTTATTTGTCTCTGAACACTAGAAAATACTTTTAGTTTTAGAGGCAGGTAGCAAGAACGGTTAATTATTTATTTGTTGGCAGCAGGTTGTACACAAGATACTATATTGACAGATTTTCGATTTTTCATTTATTTGTTTTGTTGCAAAATTTAGACCTTTATTTACATCGGTAAACAACAAGACAGTACTTGCCAAAAATTGAAGTGACATCAGATAGCTGCCATACATTTAGTCCAGATAATTTTTAAATCCAGGTTTTATACTGCTAATGATTCCAGTCTGATAAAAAGATCCAGCTGAAGACTTATCTTGAATAAACTGCATTTAGTTTTTCAAACTAAATTTGTGTAACAGCAGATGTCTTACAATATTCACCCAATTACAAGTAATCAAGCTCACTTTTAGACGAAAACATTTAAAGCTGCATACTACCAGATCAGTATTATTTAAATTTTGTCACATTTGTTAAATATTACTAATTAAAGAACATAATCTTACAAAGGAAATAGAAAATTAAACTGCCTCATTCAGTTCATTTAACCCGTTGTTTCATGATACAGAAACATTATTTGATGACCTTGTTCGAGACTCACAATGTCTCCAAATGAATAAACTTGATTCGTTGTTAAAATCTGGGATAAATAACATATATGTCAAGGTATGAACAACAGGTCTTTTATTTTTATTCCACGAAGAATACTCTGTTACTTGTCTGACTCCTAAAAATGGTTACTATGACCAGCATGCAAATAACATATTCTAATTCCTGTAAGGAAGAGCGTAATTATGGACTACTGCAGATCCAGCAGGGTGTGACAGCATGTGAAAAAATAAATCGTAACATCTAAGCGTTCATGTAAAGATTTAGAATAAGCAATACGCCTGAAATGGCGAAATATTCAACACTGAAAGGCATTTCTGTACACTGACCTAATACTTTTGAAAACAGAAAGCCACATATTCCTGCACATGCTCTGCCAAATGTGCATGGAATCTAAAGTCAGGGAACACAAAATATCCAGAAATGTTTGCATTCCATGTCACAGAATGCCAGTGGGAGATTAAAGTGTTACAAGATAGTCTCGTCATCAATGAACCCATATGAAGTGCTCTTCACTGTAACCATATGAAGTGCAGTACCATATGATGTGGACAGCTGTATTGGTCTGTGCACCAAAAAGACTGCCTAAATATGTACACTTGATTCAGAAAGGTTTGCTTTCCATGTCTCAGAATATCATTGGAAGAATAATGTATTATAAGATGGTCACATCTTCAAAGATCCCATATGACGTGAAGTGCTCTCAAATGATCCCATGTGAACTGAACTTCCCGTATAATGTGGACAGCTGTATCCATCCATGCACCAATGAAACTGAAAGCAGAAAAATTGGAAAGCAGAACCAGGCTGTTTGAAATGATGAATTTCAAACTAGAAATTCGATCGCTCAGGCTGATACATTTCTTAAAGACGTCTGACTGCCACCTATCTAAGACCAGAATAAGATTGTCTGATTGACCCTGCATAGCACCCTCCGTTGCTGCTCAAATCTTCAAACCTTGAGTCTTGAATAAATGACGATTAAATTCACATGGCAGGAGCAATGTGGGCAAGGATTTGTTGAACTCTTGGTTAGTTATGAGACCATTGCATAGATAAGGAAAAAAGGCTCAAATGACGCCCCAACTTGAAAGCATTGATGCAGCTCATGGACAGGATGCTAGTCTTCTAATTTTGGGAGCATGATATTTAAGGCAAAAAGGGTACTATAGGAGTGTTTGTAATGCGTAAACTCGACAACTAAACCACCATCACTGATCTGAAACTGAGCAAACTAAAGTTAGGCTTGGGTTTCAGCAACCAGGTTGTCTAATTATCATTTGCCCCACCCATACCAATGCATGAAATGCGAGTTGAAACATGGACATAAACTGCGACACACGGAAGGATTTGCGAGTGAATCATGGCGGAACTAGACAGAATCGTTTGTAAAATACATGATCAATT